CGCACTTGATAAAAGTATGAAGGCAAGTATGGAATGGAGTGAGGTTAGGGGCACGGGGCGGGGCGGGGCGGGGGGGGCATGATCAGGGCCACAGTAGTTGAGGCACATGAAGGAGACAGCGTGGTCTAGAATCGTTCTTGCTTTTGTCCATTACTTGACTTGAGGGATGGTGGGAAGGCAAGATGGCGGCACGCGTGGAGACAAAGGGATGGCCCTATGGTGGGGGGGCCCCACAGAGCTGAGCCCACACGGGCTGCCAGCTCTGTGGGGCTGGAGCTTGGGAGAGGGACGGGGCTGGAGTGCAGACACAGAGGGAGACCGCAGCCTCTGGAGTCAGGGAGATCCTAACCACAGAGCAAGTAGAGAGAGAGAGCTGGGGCCGAAATCCAGGTGACCTCCGGCTTATCAGGGATGCAGAGAAAGGGGACCGGGGTCAGAGAGGCGGGAGGCAAACAAGACATGGATGATGTGTCCCCAAAGCCAGAAGGACCCGGCGTCTACTCGTTCAAAGAGAGTTACTGAAATGCAAGAGGGCTGTTAGACGGCTGTGCCTCTCTTTTCTGAAAGGAGGCTCCCGGTCCCTGAGTGACCCTGAGCTCATGAGTCTCGAGCGGGTGAGTCACCGCCCAGCCCGGACTCGGAGGTGCTATCAGATTCATCAGGTCCCCACGGCCACCTCCAGGGCCGGCAGCAGCCACAGCAAGGCCATTAGCTGGGCCACGTGCCCTCCCCCGACACCCTGCCCCCACCCGTCCCGCCTCTAATTTAATATTTGCAGACGTGCTGGGCCTTAGCTGCCCAAATGCAGCCATTCTACAGGCAAATGCCATCTGATCAGCTTGACAGGAAGCCAGAAGCGCCATGGACTTCTTTGGTTTAGCAACGCCGTCACCGGAGCGGACACCTCCGCAAAGACTATTTTAGAATGACCCCGAGTGTGTCCTTTTTTCTGCCGAGAAATTATGGCCGCGTTTGCAATAAGTCTTTCCAATTTGGAACTCTGCTGAGAAGTCTCCCGTTCATTGTCACTCAACGTTTTGGCTCGTGGGCCGGGGGCCCCGAAGTGGGCTATAGGTTACTTGTTTGGAAGCGTTTTCTCTGAGTGGCGCTGTTTCTGTGCGGTGGCCCGGCTGGCTGGAGAGGTGGCCGGGGACACCGCGGGGGAACCGCACCGTCTCCCTACCCCTTAGATGAGTGGCGGGCTAGCTTCTCTCCTTCCTCGGACAGCCAGGGCAGCTTCTGCTGGGCCACACAGGCCTCAGTGGTACCTCGCCAGGGTCCCAGGCAGAAGTTTTCAGCTGTTGAAAGCAAGAGCGCTTTCCTTCTTGGGCTGGTGGAATCCAGAGCCATGTGGGCGCCCAAGGGGTTGTCTCACGGGCCTGGGGTTGGCCGCTCGCTGGCTTTATATGTGCCGCCGGCTCAGATGGGGGCCTGCGGACTGGATGGGGACGGAGGCGTGAGTCATCCGGAAAGCTGGGCGGATCCGGGGTGCCGCCCACATTTTTGCCAGTGACAAGGCCTCCATCGGGCGACAAGATGGGAATAACAGACCGGGAGCTTTTTGGTCACGGTTTGTATGTTGTGGTTGGTTGGATTGCCTTCAATCTCCTCTCTTGCCCTGCCACCCCCCCCCTTCTCCTGAAACGACCTACAATGATTCCACGTGTGTGCTCAAACTTTCTAGGCGTGGATTTCACACGTCATGAGGAACTATGGAGGCTGAGAGGGGTGGAAAGAACCCGGAACTTGAAAACTGTGTGGACCCGCTTTTCAAACGTGGCCTCACCCTTTTGCTAGTTGTGTGGATTTAGGCAAGTCTCTTAGAGTCACTGAGCGGGTTTTCTCATCCCTGAAATGGGGACAACTAATGTCTACCTTGTGAGATAAAAGATGCCAAAAGTCTAACACGGCGCGTGGGGCTCGGTAGATAATCCCGTCCTCTGCGGACCTTCTCGGAGCTCTGGAGGAGAGGAGAAGATGGGCCCGTCCCCCTGGAGGATGTCTCTCTGGGCTTGGAAGGGCTGTTGTCCTTCAGGGGACCCCAGTCAACAGGGATGGCTCACCAGTCAATTCAGTCTAGAAAACAGGAGCTAGATAGTTGAAAGAGAGGGAAGGACACAGAGGTACCTGCCCCGGGCTCTTCTCAGACCTTACGTCTTTTAATTCATTCAGTGTTCATGGCTGCCTTATGAGGTGGGTCCTATCATCCTTCTTCACAGGCGGAGCAATGCATCCTTATGTCCCTGAAAGAACTATAGGAAGGTCACATCCCTACGCAGCAGTGGAGTTGAGCCCTGAGGTCAGGCTGGCTACTGAGACCAGGCTCACAACCATGCCCCACACTGCCTCTCCGAATGCCATCTTCCAGTAATCTCTACGATAACCTCAGAGTACCTTTTTTCACTGCAAGATACACTGCCTTCCAGGGTGACAGCGGCTTTCATATCAGATCTCGACCTCTCGGCCGCCTCCAGGGTGTGTGGCCGGCCTTCCCCTCTGACGTCTCCCGCAGCGTGGGCCCCGGGCATGCGTCCTTCGTGTCGCTGAAGCCGCCGCGTGGAGGTTCTCCCCCATCTTGCTTGCGCTCCGCTTTGCGTGCGGTTGGCAACGGGTCTTGGAAAAATGGGAGAATGGCGTAGCCTGGGATTGACACGTGATTCTGGTTTTTTGTGTTGTTTTCAACGCTGTGCAAAGTTGTCATCTCCAAATCTTGCACAAAGAGCTGCGATGGCAAGTTCGCACACGCACGGAAAGGAGAGAAAGAAAAAGAGAACGCAAGAGGTTGGGCACCTGCGAATGTCTGACTGCCCGTGGAAATGAAGAGGTAGGAAATGACTTGTGCTTCCATGGGGTGTCCGTGCTCCCAGGTATATTTTCAAGAAGTGTCGTCAAATGCCCTCCGAGGAGAGATTCTCTGTCAGTGTTCTGAGCTAGAGGGGGGGATCGGAGTGTGTTTTCCTCAGAAGTTGCCTGGCTTCTTAACCCAGACCCCAAGTTCTGGACTTTGCCCCGGGTCCTGATGGTTTTAGGAATGCGTGCAAATGGGAACGGGTGTGTATATGTATGTGTGAGAGTGCGTGACTGTGTGTGTGTGTGTGTGTGAAAGTGTGTGAGTATACATGCGTGAGTGTGTATACATGTGACTGTGTACATGTGTATACGTGGGGCTGTGTGTGAGTGTGTGAGGGTAAATGTGTGGGTGCGAGGGGTTGGGTTAAAGAATAGTGTCAGGATTTGATATGGAGATACTCCAGGTGCTGAAGTGGCTTTGACCTTGGATCCTGCCTGGGCCTAATGAATGGGCTTTCCCTTGCGTTGGTCCTCCCAGACCCTGGGTCAGGCACGGCCCCTTGTCCAGTCTCCTGGGCTTTACCGTCACGGCCTACAATGTGTTGGGAAGAAGTGTGTCACGCTCTTTCAACAGAAACTTGAACGTGCTCACAAGCCAAGCACAGGTCCACCGTCCCCTTAGCTATACTTTCAAAATGCAACACACTCTGAAAACTGAAAGCTTTTTTCTAACTCATCTCCAACCTGAACACATCTGGAAGCAACACCTGCTGTGAACTTTAGCTAATTTCTCCTCCTCAGTCCTCCTGTTTGGCATAGTATTTGTATATTTTGCCGCATAAATATTAACATACTTGATTACGAGTTGCTGGCCCAGGAGGGCAGCATGGTCCCCCCGCATACATCGTATTACTCTTTTAAAAAACTAAAAATATTCGGCATTTCGTAATACGTCTGGCCCTAAGTATTTTGGACGAAGGGTTGAGGTCCCGTAATTTCACTCAATTCTTGCCAACGATCTTGTGGAATAATGATTATGCTCACATTAAGATGAGCAAACTGATATCAGAAAGACTGGCTCGTTTGTTCAGGGTCACGCAACCATTATGGGGAAGAGGCAGAATTAAATACGTGCTTTCCGGATTCTGAAATACACCCCTTCCCCACCACTCCACGTGGTTTTCCCAACTTCCTCGGGGAGGTAAGCCATGGGTGTAAATATGAAACGGGAGCAGGAGCAGGAGCACGGGCTCTACTCCAGAACCTCGCTCCTCAAGGTGTGGGCCTTGGACAGGCAGTTTTGGCATCATCCGAGGTCTCTAGAAGGGCTGAATCTTGGGGCCTAACCCAGGACCTACTGAATCAGTACCTGCATTTCGTCAAGACCTCCCCCCACCCCAACCCTTCCACCAGGACCTTCATTTGCACATTAAAGTTGGAAGAGCTTGGGCAAGATGTTTACCGGAGGACCAGGCCACAAGTTATTCTTCAACTAGCAATAATCGCTTCTCATATGACCCCCATTGGCTCCGATGCCGCCCCTGCACATAGCTGCCACTCTTGGAAGGTCTCGGAATGCCAAAATTGTGACCTTTTGCCAGGATCACACTGCAGGGCGGAGGCATCTGCCAGCAGGCAAGCGAGGAGGCAGAGAGATGACAGTTCTCAGTCCAACAGTGGTTGCCAAAGACAGATATGTGCCCACAGAAGTAAGACAATTGCACACTTGTTCTAAAAGTCTGTTGCCTCAACAGTTTACTTCCCAAGGTGGTGCTATTTTTCTACTTCTCAAAGCAAATCCTACAACTGCACATTGATCTCTGGGAAAAAACTCAGGGAACTGGTCTCCCAAACAGAAGTATCAGACCAACCTAAATCAGAATTGCTCATTACTTGCTCATCATGACATGACTCCAGAGCAGGACTTCTTTAATTCCCACTATTGACGACACAGCCTGGATAATTCTTCATCGTGGGTCTGTCCTGAGTACTGCAGGCTGCTTAGCCTGCAATGGCCTATGGCCGCTGCCTTCTAGATGCCACCAGTGCTACCCCCAGCCCCAGTCACGAAAATCAAGAATGTTTTCAGATATTGCTAAAAGTCCCTGGAGGTTGGAGGAGTTGGGTGGGAGGATGGGAACAATATAACTTTCAGTTGAGAACAGTTGCCCTAAAACTTCTTTGAATTCATTTTTTTTCCTATCCTGCAGCTTGCCAAGATCAAGATGTGACCTCCTGATGATTCGTCAACTAATCAGCACTTGGATGTTATTAAGCAGATCTCTTCAGAGAGAAGGTTTTCAAATGAATAGACAATAGACAATAGACATAACTGGCATAGTGATTGCACTGAGGACAGTCCCTTCGAGAAGATTCCTTGTCACATGGGTATCGGTTTTCTTAACCAACTGTAATCAGGAGAGTTTAGATGCTGAGAAATTTAATCTGACTGCTCACCTTGGACTTCTTGCCTATCCGACAGGTCACGTGGGGGCTGTTTTGTAATGAAAATTCCTGTGTTGAAATACATGGCTTAGAAGATCAGGGGCTGGAAGTCAGGTTCCTGGGATAATGCAGAAGGCGGAAGGCCGGCTGCCCACTCTCCATGGGCTGCTGAGAGGAGATCGCTAACACACCCAATGATGGGAGAAGGCTAAAAATCATGGATTCTGTCACTAATTCAGGCAAGTAAAGATTGCACATAGTTTACAGCTCTCGAGAATCGACTGGTGAAATCCCTGGGGAAAAATGTTCCTTATCCTCCTGCCGAGAGGACTATAAAATGGAAAGAGAGAGACTCTAATGTAAAGAGCCATAAAAGGTATAATTGTTGGAGGAAAACAACGTCTTCTTGCCAGGTTGAGAGTTTCTGCACAGCCAATCGTAGTGGCTGCAGGTGACATAAGGAGCGAAGGCAGGACCTTGAGGCATTAGCGGTAGATGATCACACTCAGTGTGAACGCCGAGAAGATCAGCAGCTGTGGTGGGAAAGAGACCCCCCCCCCGACAAATTCACTGGGCACTGCCCTGTACGTGGGGACCCTACGGTCATACGGGGTGGAGTCATCAAGTCAGATAGAATTCTGACAGTGCTCCCCAAGATGGTGTCCTACCCTCCCAGATGCCTACTCAAACTGGGGTGTGTTGGTTAAACTAGGATGATGTATTCATTCCAGCACAGGTAATCAGGACCCTGACCTCACACAGGAGGCGTGGAGGGGAGAAGACCCTGCCCCTGCTCTCAGGGAGCTCACAGTCTGCTGAGCTCCTAATAACCGTATTCCAATGGGATGCTAAACATACAGCTTCCAAGTGCCGAATTAGCCGATCGGATGCTAAAATAGCGATCAGCCGTTGTGGGCACGTGGCAGTGCTCCCACCACTCATCCCATCTCTTTCCTCGCTTTGTCCTCTGCTCCTATGGATGTCGCTTTGCAGGGCTTGGATCAGCTTCCCTCTTGCTACTGTCACTGTCACCGGGCTGAGTTACCCCTTTCAGGACCCATTTTAGGGTGAGTTTTGTATTTGTCCTTTTTTTAAAACTTTATTTATTTATTTATTTATTTATTTATGTACTTATTTATGTATTTGAGATAGAGAGAGCACAAGTGGGCAAGAGGAGCAGAGAAAGAGAGAGAGAGAGAGAGAGAGAGAGAGAGAGAGAGAGAGAGAGAATCTCAAGCAGGCTCTGCATTCAGCACAGAGCCCAATGGGGGCTTGATCCTACGACCCTGGGATCATGACCTAAGCCAAAATCAAGAGTTGGATGGATGCTCAACTGACTGAGCCACCCAGGCGCCCCTGTGTTTGTTCTTTAGGCTGAACTTGTCTGCCACAGACTCTTTCTCCACTGCCACCCAGGAAAGGCCTTGCTCTACCCAGCCTGGTCTAGAACATTGCTGCCCAGTGTGTGGTCTCCGGGTCTACCTGGTGTTCACCTGCAATGAGATAAGTACGAAAATGGAGAGCGAGCTCTTAGAAACTTTTAATAGCAACCTAACAGAGCAGTTTTATAATGCAATGATACTAATCTAATCTGATATATTCATTACGTATTAATTTAGTATCATCTAGGATAATATGAATTAGGCATTTTTACTTTGTATTTCTTTCCATCTCTTCTGCTTCTTTTTGTTTTCTTTTGTTTTGTAATTCATTTGGAACATGTTTCACAAAGTTTGGTCTTCTAAAGACTGGGGAGAAACAAACTTGCCCTTTATGCAAGTGGTTTGAGAAGCACTGGTCTGGGGGGCCCCATCTGGTTGTCGGACCCAAAATGACCTCATCCTTTGTCTTTTGTCTTACCTCTCTTAGTCATTCTGAGCACCGAATAACAAAAACCACTCCTCAGAGAGGCTGGTCCAACTGATCACACTTAATAAACAGCATGTTCTAGGTTAGCCCTGCTAGGAAATGGGGTGACGCTGGGCATTGACCAGCCCCAGTGGTGAGAGGTAGGCGAACATCTTAGCGGAAGAAGGAAACGGTCTCTTCCTTTTGATCTGCTTTGCTGTTACTCATTCCCCCAGCAGCAGCAGAGCTGCTGGGCCAGCCCTACACTTGGTGAAGAGGAGTGCTCGTGGCTGTTGACCTTTCCAATTCCTTGCTCACTGTGCTGTGGTTACAGCTATACTCAACGTGTTGCCCACAGACCGGCAGATCTCCCCAGACGGAAATGGCAACAAGAGAGGACAGACACGAGAATACGAATCCTCTGAATGATCAAACTGCACATCAAAATGAGAATTTTGGGTCAACGTCAAAGTGAAATACAAAGAAAAGCGGAGGCGAAAAAGAAAAATGTTGGACACGTTTCTCTCGAATTCTCAGGAGAAAGATACTTTTTGAAGGAAGTCTCACGGAAGATTCTGGCAGAAGAGTTAGAGGCCGTGTGGCAGAAGGGAACGGCACGGGGCTGGGAGGGACAGCTTGACACCTCGTGTCCACAGGAGCCTGGGAAAATCACTTGACCACTTTGTGTCTCCGTTTCCTCACCTGTGACATGGGAGTTCTAATCTTAGGTACTTCATGATCAACCTAGGATGAAATCAATTAATACAAACATGCCAATCATTGAAAACAGTGCTTCAGACTGACTATGGGCAGGTGGGCTAAACCCTCTGAGCTTCATTTACTCCATCTATAAGATGGGGAAAAATAATACTCCCGAACCCAAAGAATTGTCCTCAGAGAGAACCTCTTGACGTATGGCTACCTGAATGCTACTTTTCTGTTTTCCAAAGGATCGGTTCTGGAAAGCGCACACAGCACTGTGAATGTGACTCATACCGTGGGTGCTGTGTGAGCAACTCCCCAGGCCCTGCCAGCAGGTGTCTGTTGTCAAAAGCAAATTAAAACTGATGGAAGTTCCTACTAAGCCTATTCAGTCAGGCAGTCAACAGACACCGACTGAGGGTCTGCTTTGTGCCGGTTATTGTTCCGGGCACATGAAATGGTGTGTGAGCAAATTTCCCCCCCACCCCACTGCCGGGGAACACACATCTGGGGAAGGCCAGACCCTTTGAACCAAATTATATGGCATGTCAAGAAGTAGGAAGTTCTCTGTCCGAAAGAAATAGATCTGGATCAGGGAGAGCGAGAGCCGAGCAGGACAGGCTGTGGTCAATCACGGGGTGGTCCCAGCGGGTCTCGCTTGGAAGGTATGGTTTGAACAAAACCTCCAGGTTGGTAAAGGAATTAGCAAGTAGAATCTAAGGGAAAGTGTCTCTGATGGAAGCAGCAGCAGCAGCAGCAGAAAGGCCCCAAGGCAGGAGCATGTCTCTCACGTTTGATGTACAGCGAGGAGGACCCAGTGGCCGAAGGGCATGGTCAAAAGCCATGCTCTTGGGCATTCTTCCTTGCCTGGAGCTTTCATCCACTAGGGCTCCCGGAGTCTGGAAAGAACTTTCCCAATGGGCAGAGCCGTATGGTCTGCCCTCTGCCTTCCTGCCCTCTGCCATGTGACAGGAGTGTCCACGCTGGAGTTGCAGGTCCACACTACAACATATCTCTGTCCCTCTGCTTCCATTTAAGGCACACAGTCCCTGCACCTCCACACCACGCCGGGCCTCTCCAGCAACAACCGAGGCCCAGCCAGAGACAATATGGATCCTGCTGCCCATGGAACTGGCAGTCACAGGGTCCTGCTAGTCTTGGGGGAGTCCCCCCAGCGTTAGCAAGCCTTCCGTCCTCCACTCTTGAAAGGAGAAGGATTTCTCAGACAAACGCTACTGCCCGCATGGACCGGGGAAGGACTAGGAAAGTTACATGAGTGTTGCCCACCAGGATGTTTTGCTCTCCATGCAGAATATGAATGGGGGAAAAAGGATTTGGTTGTGCCTCAGTGGGGTGAGCACTGTTCGTCTGGGGATGGGCCTCCCTGGGCTCCATTTTCCACAAACCGTCATGGCCACCGAAACGTCAGGTTTGGAATTATAAGAGGCGGCCCACTTTCTTCTGGGAGGACAAGGGTGGGATGCCTTTCACAACTCGCTGATGGTGTATCTTATTTCAGGAGGCCCACACTTGTCTCTTCTGATAAATATAAAATAAAATAAAATAAAATAAAATAAAATAAAATAGTAAAACAAAATGATTAATGATATAAAACAGAAGTCCTGTCACTGGCAGGTGGCCCAGTCTTATTTTAAATTGTGGCCTCTTTTTCTCTAGGGTGGGTTGTGGGTCATGACAGAACTGCAGAATTAATTTCTTCTAGCACTCTCATTGTAAGGATGAGGACGTTGAGACACAGAGAGACCAGCTAGCATGCCCAAGGTCACCTGGTGGGTGGCCAAGCTGGGAGCAGCATCCAAGCCTCCTGCCTCCAGCCCAGAAATGTTTTCACCACACTGCAACTCCAAGACTTACTTTTTTCTCAAGATTTTGGTTTTAATTTGTTTTTCTCCCAAGCCCAGGACTAGCGATAGTTTTCTCCTCCAGCTTTCCTGTTAACTGAAGTCCAACTAGTTGATTCTGCATTCAAACCAAGTCTCATATTTGCCCCTACAGACGAGGCACTGTTCAAGAGCTTAGGAAAATTAAGAGCAAATAAGAAGGAAGCCTTCATCCTCCAGACACACAAGTTCTAGGAGGAGAGAAGATTATTAAAAAATGCACACAAACATGGTGCCATGTCCTAAGGAGAAAGCTGGTATCTGTTCAGATTGTTAAATGCAAGGACAGGACAGTTTTGCCGAGAAAGGAGGGATAGGAAAGTGAGGCGGGTGGCAAGCCATGCCAGGTTTTCATCTAACTTTCTTCCATATATGAAGAAAAAGCTCTGTTTGGAAACTCACCTTGTCATCAAGAATTATCAACACCCTGAGTCTCCATGTTGGTGGGAAAGGCTCTGGCTGTCACAGGAATTGAGTGTGGATATTTTACAATGGCAGCTTGAAGAAAGCCTTTCTGTTCTCCATGCGGTCGCCATATTGGGGCCTGAACGAGAGACCGATATTGCTTGTAAGTTGATCTTGCTCCTTGAGGTCACTCTTCATAAATTCTCCCAGAGTCCAGGGCCTCCTCTTAAATATACGAGGTGTCTATCAAGGCAGCACAGACAACGTTATTTGAAGGTACGTGGTGGGACAGAATAAAAAGTTCCATGTGAGATGAGATTAACTAGAACATTTATCCAATGGAATACTCAGGCTTCATATAGTATTATAACACATACGGCCCTGGGTTGAAAACTAAATATGATGTTCCCAGTTTGAATTAAACACTTTTTCCTCTTTGTTCCCATAGTATTTGTGCATAGTTCTTTTGCTCAGTAATAATTCACCTAAGGTGCCGGGTAATGTGGCAGATATTGAGGGTATAGCGATTTAATGACATGGTCCTCTCGTTAGTATTGAACACAACATTTTATTTTATTTTATTTCTTTAATGTTTATTATTTTTGAGACACAGAGAGACAGAGCATGAGCGGGGGAGGGGAAGAGAGAGAGGGAGACACAGAGTCCGAAGCAGGCTCCAGGCTCCGAGCTGTCAGCACAGAGCCGGACGCGGGGCTCAAATTCATCAACCGCGAGATCGTGACCTGAGCCGAAGTCGGACGCTCAACCCACTGAGCCACCCAGGTGCCCCTTGAACACAATATTTTAATATTGTAATATTATAATGCACTGTGGGAAATGTACTAAACCCTAAATTTAAGCCCTAAAATCGACATGGCTCAACCCAATAGAAGTTCATTTCTTGCACACAAAAGTCTAAAATGTGACTTTCTAATCATCAGGAAGTAGACTGTTTTCTATTCAGTAATTCAAGGATCCATGTTCTTTCTACCTTGTGGCTCCACCATCTTCAACATCTGGCTTCCCGGTGTGGAGAGGGTGCGTCTGCCTTTGAATTGATTACCTTGGCAAAGAAGTACCCACTACATCAGTGTGCATAGGCTATTGATCAGATTTAGGTACAAGAGGAGCTGAGAAATCAAGTCCTTGGCTAGGCAGCCACTTCCTGGCAATAACTTGACACTGGGGAAAGGAAACAAGAATCCTTGGTAGACAGCTACCTTCCATGCTACAGTCCTAAAGTCCTTGAGTTTGGTTTGGGTGGAGGTTGTGATTTCCAGCTTCTCGCGTGACTGAGTAGAGCCATGAGACTAAGTTCTGGCCAATGGGATATACAAGTGAATGTTATACAATCACCTTAAAAACTCCTTTAGGGCAGTTGTGTGCTTTTCCAATTTCTTCATTTATTCCTCTCCTTTGTGGGAAGTGACAGCTTGAGTCCCGGCCACCATCTTGGACCCTGAGGTTGAGGACCATATTCATGGATGGTAGAGTGGAAAACTCATCAAGACTGTAAGACTTTTCAGAACAGAGTGAATGCCCTGGACGTACCTCAGATTTTATGTAAGAAAGAAAGAAACTCCAATCTTTTCACTGCTTAAATTACTGTGGGGTTTGTTAATTACAATTGAACCTCTTCTTAAGTGATATGTAAACAGAGGGAAGCACTTGTGAAAGACTTGGAATTACATGGGGATTCTGAAAATAATAGTTGCGAATTTGATGTTGCTGTAATATAAGGCTCTTAGCCTAGAATAGGGAGAGGCAAATGTTTTCCATAAAGGGCCAGATAGTAAATATTTTGGGCTTTGTGGGCCACATGATTTCTATTTCAATTACTGAACTCTGCTATTGTGTGGTCAAAGCAGCCATAGAAAAGAGTATAAAGGAATGTTGATAGCTGTGTTCCAATAAAACTTTACTTCTAAAAATAAGTGGTGAGCCAAATTTGATCTGCTTAGAGGATAATCACCCTGTATTGTTTATCACTGATCATTTATATATGAGCCTCTCATTTTTTCTCCCAGCTGTATGCTCAGATACATAGCATATAATGCTGGGAATGGAGAACAGGTTCGGTTGGCCTCTGTGCAGTGAGCAGGTGAACGGGCTAAGCCAGTCCTCCAACTGTCCTTACTTAGACCTGCTCTGAGTGCCGGGGGGTAATCACCCAATTCACTCCTTCCAACGGAGTCCAATTTTTGACCTCTGTTAGGCATTTTCAGCATCTTAACAGAAAGAAGAGACTAGCGGGATTTTTCTAGAAGTTCGGCAGCTGACAAAAATGGGAAGGTTTAGTTATTTGGTGGTTGAGCCTTTTGGCATGTTTCTCTACTCATGGCCTGAGTCTGATTTGAGAAAGTTCTCCTTCTCTAATAGAGCATTACTACACCTACGTCAAGCAAGAGGTTGTTGTAGATTTGGGGGATATCTGTTCATGATGGAAAGCACTCTGAAGTAGGAGACAGAAGTCTTCATTTAGTGTTTTACTTCGCTGGGGCAAGGTGTGTGGAAACGTGACTAATCTTTGTAAGTCTTAACTTCTTCATCTTTAAAATGATCCCAGTGCTATCTACTTCAGAACTTTGCTGTGGGAATTGAAGTAACTTTTATCAAGAATGCAAGATGCCTTGTGCTTTGAGGTCCAAAGGGAATTGCAAAGAAATTACATGTGTTTATGGTCAAGAATTTGACCCATCTACTTTGCCCAAACTAAGAAGAAGCATTTGTTTAACAAAATGTTATTAAATTCTTCCCATATGCCAGATTATATAATGTAGGTTTGAGTCGATTCCTAAAGTGGGAAATCTAATATTCATGGTGGTATCTCGTGGGGTAGACCACCCGAGCTGTAGGAAGATGTTTGCATGAGCTGGCACATCTTTAGGTCATATCCCTGCACTCAGGATACAACAAGACCCAGAAGAAAGACATATTCTAAAAGGTGGAGAGGACAAATTGACTTTTGAAAACACATTAGGCCTTATGCATAATAGAATTCAAATCATTGATCTACAGTTGGGAGCCATACAGACAGGAAGCAATAATGTCAGGAATTCAGATGCTTAAATAAAATTGGATCTAAATGGACCAAAAGTGAGTGTTTCTCAAATGGATCTAAAATGCCTCGTACCGGGACTTTGAACAAACATTTGGGGAATTGGCCAGAGCAGAGAATCTGCAGATGTTTTCCATATACACAGTATATATTAAATAGCTGAGTGAACTCGAGAATTCAGGAAATGCTCCGACATATAGGGAAATTATTAAGTGGAGAAAAATCTGTTTGCTTTCCTGACACCCTGCCTCTTGTCTAAATCAATTATGAACATTCATCTAACCCACCCGTATAGGTCACAGAAACTCATACTGATCAGAACTCTCAGAAAGTCTGGAAACTGAGAACTATTAGCTAAGCTTTTATCATTAATTGTTATGCTTCCTTTTTTCTCTTCCAAGCTTTTATTGGGAAAATTTCCCCAAAGCTATAATTACACTGAATAATGACAGAACTTATTTAATGAAGCAGAGAGCAGAAACTTTTTGAGATAGCAAAATTTGCAACGAATTAAATATTAATGAAAAATAGTCTGTCACAGAATCCATTTTTTTCCACATTCATTTTATTTCATATTTTCATTTAATCTCCAGAAAGTCCAATCATCATTTATATTAGAATTAATGAAATAAAAAAATGTATGAATAATTTCCGGACTTTCCCAAGAGCAGTTTTTCTGTACCAATTAAGAATATGAATGAAAAAAAGAGGTTAAAATCACTGTTGAGAACCATACATTTCTGGATTATTAAAATCAATGCTATCAAGTGACCATCACCATGAAGATCATAGCCTTTATTCCTGTGTGTGTTTCCAGTAGTTGATTTTTTTTTTAAGGTTTTTATCCAGTTTAGTCATAAAGTTCTGATGTTACATATGGGTAGCATCTCGATCCAAGAGACATTCCATGAATTACCCAGATACTTATTTCCTTGGGTAAGGGTATGCTAGGGTACCCATTCCCCTTTATTTTAGTTCTGTAAATACCACACATAAAACCCAAGCTTTGTTATCAGAGAGCGATATGAACCTTTTTAAATATCAGAAAGCATATGTATATATAAAAGTTCCATGTGAGATGTGATTAACTAGAACATTTATTCAATGGAATACTCCTGCTTCATACAGTACTGTAACACCCATGGCCCTGGGTTGAAAACTAAATATGATGTTCCCAGTTTGAATTAAATACTATTTCCTCTTTGTTCCCATAGTATTTGTGTTTGGCTCTGTTGCTCAGTAATAATTTGCCTAAGGTGCCAGGAAATGTGGCAGATATTGAGGGCAGATATTTAATGAGAGATTGACATAGTCTCTCTCTCTTCCTCTCTCTCTCTGCAATATCAAGTTGGGTAGGCAACATATGGTAACTAGGGATTGAGGACAAAACGTATGTGGGAGCTTCAGGCGCAGAGATCCTAATTTCAGGGTGAATGTCAAGCCTTACCGGGGTTCAGGGACTTCCTCTGTCAGCTCAGCTGAACAGGCGTGCTATCTCAGGTGTTCCGTCACCGCAGGTTTCACTAAATGTGAGTTCCTAGGAGATCGGAATTCTATTTGCCTTGTTTCTTACAGGTTCCCTAGTTCATAGAAGAGTGCGTGGCATAAGACAAACCAAATAAGTATTCTTAATGACTTATCCAGAGTCATTTCCTATAACTTTTGGATTTACAGAGGGCCTTCTGCCAACTCAACCTTGCTTATTTCTATATTGTCTGTATTTATCAGTTAATATTTAGCATAGAAATGTACATAGTTATTTATTTATAAATAAGTTCAGTTATTTATGCTATACCTGAATTTGTCCAAGTGGAACCATTTGTCCTTAACTGTAAGGGGTCACCAAAAGCAAGCAATATTCCTACGTAACCACCGATAACGCACTAGGAAAGTGGCTGGAGCCACCGGCCTGCCATCATTGCCGACTCGAGATAAACAGAGCACAGCAATATTGGCTGGAGAATGAAGACAGCTGGCATCACGTTTTCCTAGTTTGGGGACAGAAGGCCAGCAATGGGACATAGAACTTTGAAAATGTTTCTAAATTGCTTTCAGAAAAGGTAAGGCAAGATGTGTTCCTTCTTAAAAATCTCATTAGATAGAAGTAGATTTAACTATTCCCTTACAACCACAATGCACGCACAGAGCATTGTGTTTTAAAAAATCCCCCAGATGCTGTCACGATCTTTCACTGCGCATTGTGATGTTAGCATCTTATCGTTTCCTGCGCTCACATATGGAAATCATCTTGGCATTTTTAATAGTATCGAGGCCTAGAATATTATCTGCGCTCCGTTAGGTGTTGTTCCTAATGCCTGCATTACTTCTGCTCATTTTGCTTTTTGCTTTTTCTAAACCTATTTTCTCCACTCCCTTAAATACCCTTCAAGGTCATGTTTCAAACCAATTCTTGTATTATCTGTGTCAAAAGCCTCCCTCACTCCCTGAGGCAATTCAGTTCGATTTCATGTAATGAATTGATTTAGAGAGTATACACTATGTGCCAGGCATTTTGCTGGGCACTGAGGATGTCACATAAAACAGAACACACATGATCCCTGCTCCCACGGAGCAA